AACCCAAAAAAATTATTAAATAATAGTAAAAGAAAAAAAAGTTTAAATTTCTGTTTCAAATATTAGGCTAATTGATATAAACCTATATGAACCGTGCAAAATTGCTAGCTTCATATATTTTTAAATGAATTCAACAAACTGTTCACGGACTTTTTAACTTAACTTGATATTAAGGTTCCTATCACGAAAAACTTGTTTAATTATTTTTTAGAGCCAACAAATAGTTTGCTTTATATTGATGGTTTATTTTCTGATTTGTCTTTTGATGAGTTCGAGAGAGCTCACATAAATTAAAAAAAAAAAAAAGTTAAAGGTCCGGATATAAAAAATAGCAACATGATAAAATATAGATTATTGATTTGTATTAAAACTTAAAATGTACTTTACAACATGAGGTACTCCCTGATCAAGTAAACGTAGGCAGTTAATTAATTTTAATAAAACGAAGAAAACTTTAATGCAAGTAATTATCAACCTTCATCCATATCAAACCTTAACTTGAATAAGTTTCTGTATAAAGTCTTTTCGATTCTAAAAAAAAGTAGTTCAACTGAAAAAACAATTGAAAATTTTGTTTGTGAAATCTCCAGTTCTTTCGGCAAATCACTAGATTTTATTATTAACCTATTGAAAGCATTCAGTTTTATTTTAAAAAACTAAAAGTCTACGGTTTCAGTGATAAATTGATAAAATGTTAAAAAAGTTATTTGACAAATAGGAATCAGTCTCCTTTAGAGATTGTTATCAAAATTTAAAATAAATTGAAATAAAATGCGGTGTCCGACAGGGTTTTAATTTAGGATCGCTTTCGTTTTTAGTTTTTGAAAACAATTTAAAAGTAAAGCACTTTCAATCTTATGAGTACCATATTTGTTGACAATACTTATTTGTTTTGTTAAATGGTGAAATTTATGACCGTTTTTTAAAATGAAAAAAAATAAAACACATTTCTTATAAGTTTAGATGCGTTAATTTAACATTAAACATCAACAAGACAAAATGCTTCTTGCTAATAAAGAAACGCCTTTTATTAAATAATTAACCTAAATTTTTTAATGATAATACTGAATTTTATACATAATCAGTTTAGGAACTTAGTGTCTGTAATACCTTATGTTTTGGCTACTTTAATTATAAATACTTGGGAATGAATTCAATTCCGATCAAAATGTTAACTTTTTTAATGATGATATATCTTGTTTACAATATATATCATCTCTTATGTTTAGTTCGAAAAGCGACTAGTTATTATTTGTTTTCGAATATCTTTTTACCCTAAAATCTATAAACAAATATACTTTTCAAAATAATAATTTATTAACTGAACCTATCTGTCATACAAGTTTAATCAATTCTTTATAAGCTATTGACGATAAGATAATAAGATTGTTCAACTTAATTTTGATTTGCTAATCTTTTTTTTTATTTTTAAAACATATAAAAATATAAAACAATATTCTTTCAACTGATAACATATTTAGATATTTTTGAAAAACATAAAACCATAATTGAATTATTTTTTGGAAACATATTTTGTTATCTGGCTTAGTCAAACACGTCATGTTAAATTTTGTTTTTAATGAACCTGCAATACATGAAAACTTTCTTTTGACATTTAGTTTATATAAAGTATTTTTGTTCCAAAATTTAAATCCATCGATAAAATTTAACACCAACAACACACTTTTTAAAAAATAGTTATATCTTTATAAGAAAAACGAAGATAAAATATTGTAAATGTTGTATTGTTATATAACAATATAACGCAGTTATAATTATAACTGCGGTATTAGTCCACACTGACATTGCTAAGATAATAAAATCAAATATCAAGTAAATGTTAAAAAAATACTAAAATCAAATATCAAGTAAATGCTAACAAAATAAATTTTTACTAACCAACTAGTCATTTATATAATAATTTCAATAAAATTATTTAAAAAAAAATTAAAATAAATATTTGCGATAAAATGCTTTTCTTTTAAACTTTTACCTGATATCATACAACCATATATTTCTTTCTTGAGTGTCATCATGCAATTTTTTTTTTTTTTTTATAATAATATAAACAATTACAAGTGAGGATTTTTACTATAAATATAAAAAAAAGAATGCGGAGACTCGTAGAAGACCTTAAGGTCTTGTCGCCGAGAACCGCTGCAAAATCGTTACAAATTTACGTGTTAAATATTTTATAATAAATAAAAAAACTGTATTTATCAATATTACAAGAAAGACATAATTTAAATAAAAATAGAAATTTACAATTAAATTTTCCATTAAAAGTATAAAAGTATATTTTCAATAGACAAAATGATTTTCTTAAGTTTCCTTTTATATGAGGTATAAGTCCATTCATGAGAAAAGTCAAAATATTTCAAAACTATTTTATTCCAAAGAAAGGCTCCTCGGAAAGAAACACAAGATTTACCAATATTTGTATGCGAAAATTGTAGTCGAATAAAATTATCATTTCGTAGGTTGTACTTGTTTTTTTTTTTATTGAGTATAGGTCATAAAAGGAAGAAGGAGAATCGTTGCTTATACATTTATACATAAAACATAAAATATTATAAACGTTAAGCTGATATATATTTAAAATATTCATTTCAAGTAAGAGCGGCCTGGCATGAGTAAAACGGTCTTTAAAGTTTATAAGACGTGCAATGTGTTTCTGTTGACGATGAAGAGGTTCTAGTATACTTTTGTTCACACTACCCCAAGCAATATTAGTGTAGTTAATATGGCAGTGAATAAAGGAATAATATAATTGAATTAAAGTTTGTATATTTAAAAAACTTCTTGATTTATATAATATTCCTATAGTTGTAGCAATTTTGTTATTTAGATTGTTAACGTGATTTTTCCATTTAAGATTTTCATCAATATAAATGCCTTAAAATTTTGCAATTTTTTGTTCGATATTGTCAACAAAAATAAGTGGCGTAATACTTGGAATTTTTTTTTTTTTGAAGTTGGGTGAAAAAGTATCCATTTAGTTTTTTTTATATTAATTGATAGTTTGTTTGATTTAAACCAGTCAGAAATTTTAATAAGCTCAGTGTTCATGTTTCTAAATAATGTTGTTAGATCATTGCTGGTTAAAAAAAGATTAGTGTCATCCGCAAACATAATTGTCATTAAGTTTGAGGCTTTGTAGAGGTCATTGATTATATTAGAAACAGCAATTGACCTAGTATTGAGCCTTGTGGCACTCCACAAGTTATATTTAACAAATTTGATGATAATGATGAGTCTATTTGAATAAACTGTTTACGATTAGTTAGACAGTTCTTCAGTAATAATAAAGTATTTCCAGTGATTCCATAATGTTCTAGTTTGTTATAAAGAATTTCATGATCTATAGTATCGAAAGCTTTCGATAGATCTATAAAAATACCTAATGTGTATTGCGATGTTTCAAATGAATCGGCAATATTTCTTGTTAGTTGAAGTATTTCATGTTCTGCAGAATTTTTTTTTTTAATCTATATTGGTTTTTATATAATATTTTGTTTTCTGATAAGTGGTTAAAAATTTTGTTATATAATATTCTTTCTAGAATTTTTGAAAAAAACTGGGAGAACTGATATTGGGCAATAATGACTAAAGTTTGTAGGTTCCCCTCCTTTGAAAATTAGGGTAACTAGCAATTTTGAGTTGGTCAGGAAATACTGCTTGGTTTATTGAGCATGCAAAGACCCTAAAGAGAATATCTTTAATTATGTCATATAAACCAATAACAATATTTCCGTTTACATCGTCTGGACCAATTGCTTTATTAGACTTAAGCATTTTGAAAGCAATCTCAAATTCATCAAAAGATACTTTAGTTTCGTTTAGAAAAAATATTTCAGGGGAAATCAAATCTTTTTTTGAATTGGTTGAGTTATTAATTATAGGGATGTTTTTGGCTAAATTTGGTCCAACTGATACAAAGAACTTGTTTATTTTGTTTGCTATTATGTTAGGGTTATAAAAAATTTCAGTATTTATTTTGATTGTCTTTGGAAAAGAGCATACTTTCATTTTATTGTTACAAGTGATTTCATTAACAAGTTGCCATTTTCGCTTAAAGTCGTTTTTGTATTTATCAAATAATTCGCTGTAATAATTTCTTTTAAGGTTTTTATTTTTTATTTTTAAATAGTTTGGTAAAGGTTTTATAGAGTGTTTTGCTTTCAATTGTTTTTGTTTTAAGGTATTTAATATATAGTTTTTGTTTTATTTTTGAGGATTTTCTAAGATCTTTTGTTACCTATGATGATTTTAAACTTTTTTTTTTGTTTTATTAGTTTCACATTTTGGGAAGTTTAGATCATAAACTTCATAAAAAACTTTAAAAAATGCATTATACATGTTATTTGCTTCTGACAAATTATTTACTAAATTCCAGTTTATTAAGGATAATTGTTCCTTAAATGATAAAATATTTTTATCATTAATAAAAATATTTTATTATTTAAGTTTTTCATGTAATATCGAATCTGTATTAATATTTATAGATAAAAAAATAGGAAGATAACCCGAGGTATCACTTTTAATTATTCCTGTTTTTAGTAATTTATTAGATGTGTCAGTTGTTATGATATTGTCTATTAACGATGCAGATGTTGCAGTTACCCTTGTTGGTCTATTTATTAAAGGAATTGCTCCATTTTCAAACAAGTCATTATAAAACTTTTGAATATTTTTATTTAAGTAATATTCAACAGTCCAAATTCATATCACCAATTATGTAATTTAATTTCTTTTCTTGAAAACCTTCTCTTATTATATCAGTAATTAAAAAACTATTGAATTGTTCAATTACGCCTGAAGGTGTGCCCTAAATTAGGTGCCCCAAGAAGTCCTTACGGTGTTATTGTAGAGTACCGTGGAATTTTTTTATTTTTTCATTTTATTTTAGGTCCTAAAATAAAATTATAAAAAAAAAATTGTTTAGATTTCTCCGTGTTCCCGGAAACTAAATGATTATCTTAAAGTTTCCGGGAAAAAAACTACGGGTTGGTAACACTGAAAAGTTTCACAATTAATGTTGAAAGCGCTATGTGATATACTCAAAATGGATAAAAATCCTGAAAACAAGGACTCGTTGGTTTCAGATGATACTTCCAACGAGTACAGTATAGAGAAATCTCCTTTGTTAAATGTTGAAAAGAGATTACCTTTAGAGTGTTACCAGAAAAGTTCATGGTTAGTAAACTACCTACTATTAAAAAAATAAAAAGATTTTCTGTTTATTTAGTGGTTTATACTGTAAACCACTAAACCAATTGAAATTTTTTTGTGATATAACTTATACCGTAACAAAATTGAAATAACGAGGATGTTGAACTTATTTTTGCTGTGTTAATTTTAGTTTTTATGTTCATTTAGCTTTTAAAAATAATTTATTTCGAAAAGTATTCCATTTTCGTAAATAATTTTTTTTTGTAAAATATGTTTTTTGTAACTAAAAAAAAAGTTTTTTTTTTACGTACTGTTATATTTAAAAAGTGAAAAAAATAGTAATAAATTGAGGTAAAGATAGAAATCAAAAAAAAAAAAAAAGCAAACATGGTAATAAGAGCCATTTTTAGATGATTTTAACTTGGTAATGGATTATTTATGTGGTTTCCATGAGTCTTATTTTAAGGGTTTCCATTTAGATTCACCTTTAATTATGGTTTCAAATTTTTTCATACTTTACTAAGTAATATATTATAAAAATGATTTTTGATCATATCATTTTGATCATATCGATTTTGATCATTTTGAAAGTTAAAAAAGCTACAATAGAGTAAAAAAAATACATAGTTAAAAGAAAAATCAGACCCAAAACTGCTGCTTGATTATTATCAAGACAAAATGAAAAATGAAAAATTATTTAACATCAATTAAAGATTCTAATGTGTGCATCATTATGGACCAAAAGCAGATACTTTGAATGAATATTTTCAATCAGTATTTATAGAAAATAACAGCGATATTTTACCAAACTTTGAAAAAAGTGTTTGAATTCACTAGAGTTGATTAGCATTACCTCAACTGAAGTTAATAATATGATAAATGCTATCATCCTAAGAAAATCAGATGGACCAGATGGAATTCAACTTTTTGTGTTAAAAGAATGTGTAAATGCTTTTTCTAATCCATTAACTTTATTATTTAGCAAATCAATTTTCGAAGATGTAGTACTTATTTCATGGAAGATAGCAAACATAATGCTGTTTTTTAAAATTGGCAGTAGAAATAAAATTTCAAATTCTCAAAGTTTCAAATTCAATTCTTTGTAAAAATTTAGAATGTTTAATATTTAAAGACTAACAATTTATTATTTTCTAATCAGCATGGTTTTACAAAAGGTAAAAGTTTAAATTTTTCAGATCCGTTTTCAAACATTCGAGGTAGCAAACATCGTTTATTCACAAATTAGAAATATATCAAAATCATGTAATAAAAAACACTGTCAAATTCTGGAACAAATTACCAATTGAAACAGTGGAGTTTAATAAATCTCAACTTATTTAAAACTAAACTAGACTTAATTGTCTATGTTTAACTTTCTTATTTTGTTTGTAAAAGATTAAACGTGGCATTAAATCTCAACAGTATTGTATACTATATATATATCATTTATAGGTGCTAAAAGTTGATTAATTTATAGTTTTAACAGCAGTAGAATTGAACATATTAAAATAGGAAGTTGTGAGGCTTATAATACCAACTGGATGGTTCACTCTCTTATAGCCTAGCTAAAACAAAAAGAATGATCTTGCATACAATACAAAATCATAAAAGAAAAGGACAAGAAAATCAACCAAAACAATCTGGTATTTAGAGATCTTAAAATGACATATTTGTTTTATATAACGTTTTTCTGAATAATGGAGAAACTTATGGCTGTTTATCTGGTTGTCCCTAAGATGAACAACCATAAGTAAGGCGTAAACGAAATAAGGCAATATATATAGATTTTAGTTTTTCCAAAGTTTCTATTCAGCACAAAATGTGTAAATATTCTAATAAGACAATTTTTTAAATTTTTGTTAAAGTCATTGAATTTAAATTAAATATGTTTCTTTTATATCATTGCCATCCTCAATATATTAAAATGTTCAAATCAAATTCGTAAAATTAAGTTGAACTAATAGAGAACTTATAAATAAAAATTCAATAACGACACAAAATATGTAACAAATATTTTGAAAATGATAAAAGAACCGGTAATGTAAAACGGAACTAGATTGAAAGTGTCATTTTTACATGGTTCACTTGTTTATTAACAGTTATTAACAATGCTTTCTTTGAGTTTAATATAATAATATTGGAAGCCGAATTCAAAATAAAAAGACTAGCATGGTTTAAAACTGTTAAAGCAGCTTTCATTTTTCATTTGAATAAATATTTTTATTAGTGTGTGAGTTTTTGAATTTTTTTATTGGGTTGATCCATGCCAAATGGACCAAAATTTTAGGATTTCAACATGCATTACCTCAGATTTTGACGAAACTTAGTGGGTTTGTTAATATCAATGAGAAAAGCAGTTCCTAAAAATTTCAGCATAAATTTTTTTGTGGTTCATGAGTTATGGTCACTTGAAATTTCTGATTTTTCCAAAAATAAAAACTTCAGTAGAAAAAATATGTTTTGTTTAAAACAACTCTAGACTTAGTTTAATAAAACTTTGACATTGAATTCTTAAATGTCCCATTCTTTTCATAATGGCTACTTAAAAAACCAAATAAATTGTTTGCAAGTATAAAAAGTTGATTTTTTATGAGTCAAAAATCATAAAAATGTGATTTTTGATGAGACAGTGCAAGTGTAAAAAGTTGATTTTTGATAAGTCAATGTAAAAAACCTGCAGTTTAAGAAGTGAAAAGAAATATTTTTTAGTTTCTATATATGGTAGGCTCCTAAATATTTTGAAATATACTGATAAGATTCGATTCAGTAAAAAAATATAGACCTATAAAAATGTGCCTCCATTTCAAACCACCGGTAACCTAGGATGAACACTGGTTATAAAAAACCAGTTGGGCTAAAACTTGGGGCTAAAACTTGGTGTATCAAAGTAATATATTTTCAATACATTTCAAATGATGCAATTGTATTACATTGTATAAACATAGTCATAAAAAGTATAGTCTGGAAACACAGGCCATTTTTAATTGTTTTCATTGTTTAAGTTGAAAATCGGGTGGTCTTTGCAAATAAGGTGCAAAACAAACTTTTATGATGGCTGAAAGTTCAATAGATTTGAATAATTTTGAGACTATTTTCGAGTTGCATCAAGACGAGTGCGATTCTATTTTTGAAGTTATTAACCAGGATTTGTTAAATGACGTTGCCGAAGAACAACATGCCTCAGATTTTCCACAAGCAACACTTTCCTGTCAATTTTGTAACAAGAAATATTTGAGCTCTAGAGGTCTCACTCGTCACGTAAATAGTAAACATTCCGATGTTTTATCAAGTCATTCTAACCTTTCATCAGATATTCGAAAAACTAAAATATCAGAAGAAATTCTTGATCTTGAAGACTTTCAGATATATTTAGAAAGAAGTGTTGCAAAGCTTTCATCAGATTATTGTTTTGAGTCCATACAAAATCATTTTAAAGCTTATGTGATTAATTTTGATATAGCTAACACAGCATACCAGATTATAAAACCGATTTTATCTTTATTTCAAGGAAATGTCGAAAATTTTTATCCAGATTTTTACAAATGTATCTTTGACAACATTGATTCAATTTTTATAGGATTAAATACACAGTGTTCCACCTTACTTGGATTTGAAGTGTGTAACCATATATTGTTGCATCTCTCTGATCCATCAGTTCAGAATGATACAATTTCATCTGGGAAGGGTTTTGTACTTTCAAATAGGGATTGATCTGTTATTGCCTATTTATGTGGGTATTTTTTTAGCACATTATATCGTTGCATCAGGTTTTCAGATATTTATAAGGAAGAATACTATCAACAGTATATATCTATTCTACTTGCTGCTAAATATCAAGAAAGTGATGATTTGTCTGTGCACAAACTTGTTAACACGGGTAACAGATCAAGCTTGTGGAAAATGAAAATTGAGGCAATTTGTATTTTTATTACTGTTGAAACAACCTTTAAAAAAATGGTTAGTAAGTCTATCAATAAAATTGACAGCAAAGATATTCTATCCTCACTTCTTAAAGATACAAATGTTTTATCTAATTTTTCAAGAGTTAAAAGTGAAACTGATACTTTTGTTAATAGAGAAGTTTGTTTAAATGTTCTTGAAGACATCTTGAATTTGTATGTGAAAGCAAAGACATTTTCCTATGCCAAGGATAATCTACAGGCTTACAAAATTAAAGTTCAACAACTCAAGTCTAAGTCACTGCGAACTTCACTAAAAAAGAAGAGTACTTATTAATATGTATATTAATAAGTATGTATATAATCAACAATATGTAAATTTCACATTTGACAATTTAAAACAATTATCTGATATTATCTCAATTTTTAAAACAGCTATTTTCATAGCTACAAACGGCTAAAAACATTTTTGTGGTATCAAAATATATATATTACTAGTTTTTTATTAAATTGTTTTCTTTTCATTAGAAAAAAGTTTTCTGCAATCAATCCAATTAGTCAAATAAGGATTTTGCTTTGCAAAAAATTTTAATAAATGGGAGTTGAAATCAAAATATAACTATATAAAATTTACTGAGACTTTATTTTGTGGGGATTGGAAACTTTACATAGTTGATAGTTTTTAGATAACATTTAGGGTCAAGATGGTTTTTATTACAATATTCCAAGTTTTTTCAGAAACTTTCCTATTTATTTTGAGCTTATTAAGTTTGCTCATTAAATTTTTTTATTTAATTTAAATTAAGTTAAAAAATCAGTCTTTTTATTACAATTTACTTGTTATCAACAAGAAAATCATATCTCACAACTAAAAAAACCATTTAGAGTAAACGTAAATGAAAAAGTAAATGAAAGTTCTCACCCACCCATTTATTAAGTCCTCTCCCAGTTAGAAATTTTTAAACAAGAGCATTTATTTTGCACAAGATTAATATTTTTTGAGAGTATATGAAATAAGCAACTATAAGGGAGGGTCAAGGTTTAAAATTAAGCTGATCAATCATGTTTTGAAGTCAGAATGTTTTTTCACAAATTTTAGGTTTTGTTTGCTGCTTTTTTTTTAAT